GGAATATAACATAAGTAGTATGTGAATGAGTGGACAGAATTTCCCTGGAAGCATACGATCGGTTTCGCGGTCATTACCGCTCGTCAGGCATGTGTATCCGGTAATCTTTTGTCAGTTCATTTGTATACTTGCACCCAGGAAGTGTATTTCCTCACAACCTTGTTCGCAACACCGGTTGACCTTTGGATAGACAGCTCCATTGATAAATCAATGCTATGATCAAATCTTCCAATTTGAAATTCCACAGTATTTGCTGACCTAAACATTCATGATTACGTTCACGGGACGATGTTAATCCCATCTGACTTTGGTCGCATTGAGTTTTTCCGTAGCTTTGAACTGTTTTTCTTTTAGCTTAATAGTTCGTTTTCCATAGCTGAAGATGTTCCTCGTTCCACAACCGGGAAAAATCTCCGCTGGTACATAAGTATTGCTTGCAGTACAATGAGTCGTTTTGTTTCCATTCATTTGTGGTGAGCGTTCATTACAGGTGACCAACGGTACCGTCTCGTTTTTCCGCTGTGTCCACCATCCGCGCTTTGAATATCGCGGAAATTTTATCGCCTTATATCAAGCCGGTTGGCGAAAGAAATAGGTGATGGAATTTCTCACGATTGAAACAATGATAGATAGTATTTTGGGTAACGGAGAAAAAAAATTATTCCATTTCTGTTCTTCTTAAACTTTTATACACACCCGGATACAGCGATGTCTGGATGCATTCGATCAAGACAGTGCCCGTGTGATCAACGCTGCTCTGGAAGGTTCTATCCCCGATCATGTGTTAAATCCTGACCCATCACAGAGGTTTGTCTTAAATTGTTATCATATTTTTCAATGTGAACTTTGTTTTATTTGCCGTCCTCGTTCAGCCGTGTTAAGCCGTCTAACCTAGTAGAATGATGTTAGCACAGCTCATTTAAATCTAGAAGTTCATGTCATGTATTCGTATACTACATAATTACTCTTCACTGGATTTTTATCTGTTACACACGTCATTCGTTGCTCTGAGAAAGTTGTGCGATTATGATTATCGTAAGATATATACATATATATATATATATATGTTTTACAATAAGTAGTATATGAATGACTGGACAAAATTTCCCTTGAAGCACACGACCAGTGGTTCGTGGTTCTCTTCGCTCGTCAGGCATTTACTAATCCGGTATTCATTTGTCTTTTCATTCATATAATTGTAACCCAGGAAGTGTTTTTATTCCATCACAATAACCTCATTTGCAACACCGATTAAATTTGTTTGGTTCTGAGAGAGCTTTCCAAACGAATTTACCCGGTGTTGCAAACGAGGTTATTGTGACGTATATATATATATATTTATCCATATTGTAGTATGTTTTGATCGGGGAAAAAAATCGATGGATTCGAACGAAATTATATTGGTGCAAAACGTAGCAACAGTATGATCATATGAAATGGTTACAAAACAAAATGGTAATGTTACGTGTGGATGCTGGTTTGGTCTCCGTTCTCAGTGTCTTGTATTACTGTGCTGGGCGTCACGCAACGTGTACAGCCTGTAAAAAGAAAAAAGGAAAAGGTATTCGTCAGCGACAATTCGACATTAAATTACTGGACGTCAGTCAGTTTCGGTTTCACACCACATTATACCCTTCTCCCGACAGTGTTGTGCTCGACCTCCTAGCGAATCTTCCCACAATCTGTACCTCTACTTGGACGGCAACTTCTAGCGGGCTCAAATTGTTTTCACTATAACTTGTCTCCGGTGTGGTGTGTGATGGGTATGGTTTGAGTTGGTTGAAGTGTGCCACACAGGGTGACTGTGTTGATCCGACTTCTCGAATGGCACAGTTTTTTTCTGATAGTATTCGTTCTACCATAAAGGGTCCGCGCCATTCTTGTATTTGTATAATTTGTGTAAGCATATGTGCTTACATTTCAGTTAAAAGATGCACAATGTTCGTCACGTAGAGTGAAATAATAATAATAATAATAATAATAATAATAATAATAAACGAAAGGTAAAGAATGTCAGTGATGTTTGTTTCATGTACAAAACTTTCGATGTAGTTCATTTGAGACCCGTTTTGGTAAGTAGTCGGGCCAGGTGGGGTACAGAGGAATTTTTATAAATGTTAATGCGAGAGGGTAGATGTCGAAATGAGGAGCGTGTGGACGGATGGGAACGACAAGACGAAAGATCAAGGTGTAGTGGATGTAGAGGGTCATCTAGAATCTTATGAGCAAATTTAAAATAAGAGTTGATGTGACTATCAATGAGATCTGTGATGAATAAATCAGTTGGGATTAGTGATGCACGACTGATTATCACCAAACCGTGGCGAATTGTTTTGAAGTCGTGTTTTAAAAGACCGGGAAACACCATAGGAGAGCAATAAAGTAGAATGGGTAAAACGCATTGATGAACGAAGATGACAGGACTGATTATGGGGTTCAGAATTGCCTGAGTTTGCGTAACTGAAAAGATAGGCGTCTCAGTTTTCCCATACAGTTGTACATATGTGTAGACCAACGAAGATTGCTGTCGATGGTGACACCCAGGTACTTCACTGAAATCATTCCACATACAAGTTTATCGTTAAGAATAGCAGAGTTCGTTGGAAATGAGGAGCGGCAAAGACTGAAAATGTACACTCTACGCACTTAGATATGTTAAGACTGGGATCAGATTGGTCAGAAAACTGTTGGGTGTGGGATAGGTTTTCAGTAAAAGAATGAAAGTTCGAGGGAGATGAAACTGTCTGAGACAAAACGTCATCAGCATACTTTTGGATGTGCGCAGGGGTTGGGACCGAAAGATCACTAATAAAGGCAGATAAAGGATATGGAGATAGAACAGCGCATTGAAGAACAGCAGAATTATTAACAAGAGGTTTTGATGTCCTCCTTCCTAATTTGGTGGTCTGGATCCTCTGTGTGAAATAGTTAGGAAGCCATGAAAGCAGTTGTTTGGGAATACCAAAAGATTCAAGTTTGAAAAGAAGAGATGATCGGGAAACGGAATCAAACGCAGGCGAATAGTCAAGAAAAAAACAACGGACTGACTTGACCGAATAGTTCAATGACTTGCTGATGAAATGCACTAGAATGGTTACGGCGTCCAATGTAGATCTCTTTGGTTTATATGCAAACTGAAGGGGGTCGTGAGGAATTGTGGTGTCTGACTGTAACCGACTCAGGATAGCTTTTTCGGTTAACTTTATGGAGTTTCACTGGTACTCCCGGAGTTGTCTACGTCTTATGAAACCATACTTGTTTGCCTGCTCTTGATGGGACTCCAAAGCACTTCTTGTCGTAATAATCCTTCTGGTAGACAGGTCCTCCGTGGGTAGGAATTTAAGCTAAACCTGAAAGATAAAGTAGATAAAACGCCATGAACCAAACAGGTACCAGCGCGGTTGCCCAGCGAAACAATAGCATTAAGCCGTATAAAGTAGCAGAATAACAACGCTAGTACAGCACACTGAAATCTAGAAGATCATGTCATATTTAGCCAGATCTGTCCGTAACTGGTAGGCTTTCGAGGTTTGCACTCCTTCAGGTCACGTAAACCTTTGATTTCTTGTCCTTTAATTTACACTCACTTTCACGTTTCACCACACTCGGAAAAGCTTTAACGGCGGATTTCGGGAAGAATTGGACGCCATGCGTGCAGCTGAACAGTTGAAGATTCCCAAACTGAAAACAGACCAGGTCTGGCAAGGAAAACGAGACGATGTGAATGCGATCCCGGAACTGGGAAAACGTTTGAAACAGGTGACCATTCGTTCGGCTGTCAGTATTTGGGAAGATGTGGATGATGAGGACCGCGCGATTTGTAGCCATCCGGAGGATTTGGTCAACACACGACCGATGAACACGATGGATGCTTACGAAGGTGAACTGTTTCCTTATGGTGTCTGGTTGTTGTCCTCCAGTGTCACAAATGCGTCTTCGTATGCCACATTTGTTTATGCAGAAACATTAGAACAGTAAACATGACGGCTGATTAGTAGACCTGCCCAATTTCATAATTACGTCCCAATATTTTTGCATGTCCGTTATTTAGTGGTTTTAGCATTTATACTATCTACACAAGAGTTTTGTTTGGAATCACTGAGTAAACCCATAGACGTCATCAGAACACAGGTTGTGGACGAACATATGTTTTCGGTGAGTTTTGTTTGGTTGGAAATCCGGATTTTGTTTTAATTATTGTATTTTTACTACTTGTAAGTAGAACAAAACAGAAACGCGAAGAAATTTATCTTCGGTTCATCGCTTCAGGCATTTACATTCGATTGATCAATCGGTTAATATAAGGAACAGCGAGATACTTGAACAGTTCAGTTCTACAATATCTGGTCTACAATGGACACAGGATTGACCAGTAAGAAAACCAAACTCCACTTCCCCCTACTTGTTCGGGAGCCCACAGCAGCAGAAGCTATTGCTAGCCGACCGCAGAGTGGGCGGCATTAAAAACTATTCGAAACCCAGTGGATTCCCTAGTTTGCTTTTACACAATCGCACAACTCTTCATTAGTAAACTCTCTGAGCTTCAAATGCGCTTACAAACTGGTCAGTGGGGTCTTGTTGCCATTACCGAAACTTGGTTGACTGCCGATATTCTCAATTCGGAATTGCACCTACCCGGAATGTCGCTGCTGAGACGTGATCGTTCTACACGAGGTGGCGGTGTGCTGCAATAATTCCGCAGCAACCTTCAATGTGAACCACTCGATCTCTTCAATGCAGCCCCCGACACACTTTGGTGCACGATGAAGCTATCCAAAGATAGCAATTGTTTGATCGGTGTAGTCTACCGCCCTCCTGCCTCCTCAGACTTAGCTAACGAGGCACTCTTGCAGACTATGAGAAACGTTGTCTCAGTAAAGTGCACTCATGTTCTCGTAATGGGGGACTTCACTTGTCCCAATTTTGTAAAAGGCCAGGACTATCACCACCCTTTCGAGTGAAACTTATCACAGTTTATAGACTCACATCCGATGTATAATCACGTGAAGATGACCACCAAATTTGAAAGAGGCCACCAACCATCATCATTGGACTTGGTATTGGCAAGCTAGGAGCTTATTTATGGTCGAATCGGTCGAAACAACGTCTCCATTAGGACGGAGCGATCATGCAGTTCTGCTTTTTGATCACATTTACCACGCCTAAAAAGAAACATGCATGTAAACCAACACGCACCGTTATTGACCACAATAAATTGCTGAACCTTGCTACTGTCAAACAATGGACACAACCAGAAGAGCAGCCAGATTCACTGGAGTCCTGGAAAAGATTCATTGAAACACTAACAGAACTCAACGGTCGACACAAAAACCAAGTCTGTCGGTGCGTTGCCTACACGATTATCACCTGTCCGTAGTCGAATCAAGAAAAGTCTTTGATCTGCATTGGACAGCTGCCACCCACCCATGCTGGGCAGCCCCAACTAACGAGATACTGTCCTCTCAATACTCCGCCTGTCTCGTTGGATGCATGAGGCAAACACTCGATCCCGACCAGCGGAACGTCAATCAGCGCACCAGCGAACAGTACACTGAACCGAAACCGGAAGGTCTTGCGTGATAGGTCTCCCACACGGATGCTTCGGTCACGCTCCCGCGTTGGATATACGCTCCACTGGTTTGTGGGTCAAACTCTTGATTCAATGGATATCCTGGTAGATGTCGAAGACTTCAAAAGTGAAGTGGGATCCCCGGAATAATCGGAAGGATGCCTAGGCGAACCGCACGCAGTCCCAGCCAATCGGACGACCACCGGAGATCGTTTACTTCAACTCTGCTCCAAAATGCTCGGTTATCGGACATTGTGGTAGTCGCTGGAGGCTTCCATGCTCGAGTGGGATCGCTGGACATATGCAATCCCAGCCAACCGGACGGACAGCAGAGAACACCTACTCCAACCTTGTGCTGACCACGGATTATTTCTATCAAGCACTAATTTCTCTCACACAGCTTCACCGCCCAACATTGTAACCGCCTACCCCTTCGCGGCGATGGACCCCAGTCGACCACATTGCCATCAGCTACCGCTGGCCGCTATCCATTCAAGACTGCCGCTCTCAGTCTGCTTTCAAACCAACAGAGGAGAGACTTGAAAACCGCACGCACGCTCATGCACCTTCCTGGTTCTGCTAGAAGTCCTCTCCTTAATTGGGCCCCTTGGGCGTTTGACCCAATCCAAAGTCGTTTGTTCCGATGGACCATTGTCATGCTGTCTTGAGTAACAGGTGTTGCGTAGCTGACAACCACGGTTGTCAATCTTCTCGTAAAAGTTCATCTGCTTTCACACGTACAATCTGACAGTATTTTCTCTCGTGCAAATCATCGACCCATTAGTTCATTTGACCCTGGTTTGTGTGGCACACAGTTTTAACTCACAAGTGTGAAATATAATTATAATGGTGATAATGAATTTTTTTGCACGTTCCGTACTATCCATATGCTATGTTTCTGTTTATTATATACTAATATTACTTAATGTAAAAAGAAAGTATTTTTCAAATTTCCTTCCCAATAATGTAACATCGGGGAAAGTCTTTTTTACTGGTTGATGATTTGTTGCTCTATCGGGCTACTGGTGGTTAAATATAAAACTTCTTGAAACTGGGGACATGAATCTCTGTGAGAAAAGACGGCCACGATGACTGCGGCAGAACACAGTGAGAGCGATGCAGCAACTTCCAGCGGTTTGATTCCTTCTAATTCGACGGATCATTCCAGTTTCTGAGCTTGCATCAACTTAGCATTAGCTTAGGAGAGGGTGTATCTCTATGAGATAAGGACGTATTTTATAAGTCATCTTAGTGTTGTGAACAGCAGACGGGTTAAACACCACAATCACGAAGACTTGCTGTTCGGTGATGGAAACCGGTAACCCAAGGCCCCGGGACTTTGAGCGACGAACCACATAAAGTCCCGCTGTGTCAGACGTGGTATTGAACTGAACGATAGGAAAGCTTCCTATCACCAAAATAGACTGAAATTCAATTTCCAACATACAAGCATCCTACATTTAACATTCATCAATGTTAAGTGCGCTCGGCATTATCAATTTTGTGCACCGGAAAGGTGAAGAAACCGCATAAAATCAGGCAGGTTTGATAGCTAGGTATTACCCTGTATTGTGAAACCTTTCGCTTGTAGATGAACAATCAAAATGTCTGCACATTTAGTTCTGCTGTCGGAAGTGCTTAAAACGAATCTCGAATCTGTTTCTTTCCACCTGCGCTCCAGATGAATACGATGACACATATGAAGTTCACGAAGGAGCCGTCGATGATGTGGGCTCATCTGCCGAATCTGATACCGCTCGGCTTTCCGATCACGAATCTGATCCCATCCAAGCACAACAAAAATGGAACAAATATCAGAATAAAGCGGAATCACATACTCAAGGGGTAAGTGTCAATTGTGCTGGGACACCTTCCTCGTTCCGTTGTGTAACTACTACCGTGCTAATCTCCTGTTTTATGCTTACTGGTGGTCACTGTCGCCAGTGGGGGTCTTATTCGAAGAGTCTCCTACCACGTCTCTCAACGGTTGGTTAGTCACACAGAAGAAGGAGGAGGAGGATTAGGGTAAATGAGATTCTGTGAAAAGCAATGTCCGTTCGAGTGTACCGGACACATTGACTGTTCTGTCACAGTGCGCATGATACTTTCTTTTTATGTTTATTTTTAGAACGATTGTTTCGACTTAAGAACAATTCAACTGCATAGAATCGTCCATAAAGATTTCCGATAATGGTGCATGAAGTGGTATCCGATTACCATCCGATCTTTGGCAGCCAAGTACCTGTGGAGTATAAGGGTGATAATGATGACCTAATTGTTTGGC